TGCCCAGCCCACGGATCACCCTGAGGGTTCTGGGGGGCTGTGAACCCCCAGCCCTGCAGTGCCCAGCCCATGGATCACCCCTGTCACCCCCGAGGGCTTTGGCCAAAGAAGAAACCAAGGCAGGGAGAAGAGAAACAACTTCCCTGAGGCCACAGGCTGGTGGCAGAGCTGGCTGATCAAGTCCAGCTCCAAAGGCACTGTGTAACTCTCCTGTTGGACCCCATGGAATGCTCTCAAGGTGGCAAACACCGACCCTGCAATCCAGTCCCCTCTCCACCTGGACCTCATTCCCCAAGTGCTGCTCCATTCAGCCATCCATGGGTATCTCTCATCACCTGTCCTGCCACGCTGGCTCCTCACACACTGCATCCTCCAGCCAGCACTGCTCATCCACAGGAAGGGAATAAATCTCCAAGGGTGAAGAACTGAGCTCTGGGAACAGCAGGAGCCAAGGGTTAATGCCTGTCTGGTCACTGTGTCATCCAGAAAGGACAATAGTTGTCACTCAGATTCAGATGTAAGGCTTTGTTTTATGGGATGAAGAGGCAGCTGCTGTGTGGTGAACGTGTGAGCATTGCCTGCCTGCACTGGAGGAGTCAACTGAGACACTTCTCTGAGTCCCTCTGAATTACCAGGAACATTTCATAACCACAGATGTCCTTATCAGTGAGAGATACTGGGACCAGATGCTGTTATTGAGACCAACTGGTAATATTGAAAAAAAAAAACCACACCAAAAAAAAACCCAAAAAACCTGACAAGTTTTTAGGCATGGAAGATCTTCCTGTTCCTTCTGTTTGGAACAGCCTGGCATCCCCTTTGCTCCGGAAGCTGGGACAAGAACAGGCTGGAAAAGGCTGGTTATGGGTAGAAATGAAAAAGAAAAGAAGGAAAAGCCTGATACTGGCCAGGTTGAGGTGCACACAGGCTCTCCTGACTCCCCTCTGCCAAAGCCTGAAGTGTTTCATAAGTCACTCAAACAACAGTAGCTCCCAGTTGAGACTGATGCTTCCAAAGCCTGTGTCCAAAGGCAAGGGAAGTGGATGTCGTGCCAAAGGAAGCGAGGCAATTTCTGGGATTCCAAACGTGCTGTTTGCACATTGCCAAACGTGGCAGAGCTGCCACCCCAGGGAGGCAGAGGCAATAAAAAGTTTCATCATAGAAAATGCAATACAGAATAAAAATGTGTGTGTTTAAAAACTGGGATCCAGAATGATCCCAGTTTGGGCTGGGATAATTCACCCATGGCTGGATGCAGAGGGGCCCAGCACAGCCAGAGTGCAGGAGTTTTGGGCCAAATTTAAGGCAGGGGAGAGGCACTACTGATTAATTTGGCCCATGGAGCAAATTTCAAGAGAAAATTTTGCTTCAACCAAGCAAAATTCAAGAGAAAACTGCAACACCACCTTATCTCAGCAGCATCCTGGGACACATCCTTTACACCAGAGGAGCCTCTTTTGGAGCAGACTCAGCTGCTCACATGGAGCAACTCCATAAACCCCCATTTCAAGGCCTCAAGCAACTGATAAACCCAGAGCCACGACACGAAATCTCGCTGCAATCCTTCAAGTCTGTCCCGTTCTCTTTGCTGATATCCCAGAAATAAAGTATTTGCATTTTGTCAGAGCCTCAAACTCCCATCTGCAAAGGCATGGATGGGAAGGGGGACAAGGGAGGAACTCCCAGTCTGCTGCAGCCCAGTCCTTAATGAGAGATTGAGTTCACAGTGGGAGGAAGGAAAAACAGACTGACAGGAATGCTGAGGTTGGATGGGAGCTCTGGAGATCACCTAGTCCAACCTCCCACCTCAGACAGGGTCAAGCAAGTCCTCCCCCTTCAACCATCAGTTGGAAAAAACATGTATTTCCAATGGGATGAAGAGCAAAGTATGAATTACACGTGTGGACACCATTTCCATGTACAACTTCAGTGCTCTTTGAAGACCTGCTGCAGGAGAAAACCTGCTTCCAAAGAAAACCAAAACTCCAAATTTTGTGGGTTTGCTTTTTCTAACTAGGACTGCACACCTTGAACATGCCATACAAACACAAACCAAATGCAGTTTGCTCCCTGCTTGTCAAACTCTGCATTTTAGTGGTGGGCACAGCCTCACACACAGCCCTGCCACAGCCTGACCTCCACCCAAGCTGCTCAGCATATCAGGAGGGATTTCCTGTATCTTCCACAAAATTCCCTGTGGACATCTGTCTCCAGTATCTCTATTTCCCTTGCCCAGAAGCAGAGCACAGCCAGGTAGGAGAAGCAGCTCCTCCTCCTCCCATAAAATAAAGCTTCTTCTAATAAAACCTCTCCAGCCAAAGAAATCTGGGCTTCTCAGGCTTGAATTTATGAAAAGAGAAACCCCAGGTGTTTTAAAGCATCTCAACAGCAAAGGAATTCTGGCAGCTCGTTCCCCCTTTCTCCCACTGAGAGCACAACAGCTGCCCTGGGCAAAGCCATTCATCTGCCAAAACCCAAACACACAACAGAGAATAAAAGTGAGGAGAGAAAAAATGAGAAAAGTAAAAATAATATAAATTTCTTAAACATTCAGAAGGTGCTGAGGACTGTGTTTCTTCACAAAAAGCAGGGACTGAGCTTTTCAGTGCCCGACACACACGTTCCTTTCTTGCACCCCCAGAGCATCAGCCACTCTTGGTGCTGCCTCCTCTCCTCCACCAGAACTGTCACAGGGTCCATCTATTGTGGTCTAACTGGTTAGTTAAGGAAACAAAAAGCAGCTTTGGGAGAGGGGCAGGGCTTTTGTGCAATATGCAAGACACTGGAAAAATGGTGTCACAGCAGCAAAGTGACATTTGCTTTCCATAAACCATTTCTGACCTTGGGTTTCCAACATGGATCAGAGTGAAAAACACAACACAAACCCGCCCTCAGAGACTGAGTAACTCCCCCCTGGACTTACAGTGACAGAGAGCATGGACTGGAGATCTAAAAATCATTTCTTGATGTAATGCAGATGCCAAAATCCCAGATCCTTTCAAATGTCATTTAGTATTGCATTTTTTAGGGAAATTTATGCATCGTTTATGCATCTTTGAGTCTCAACAAATGATCCATGAATTCAACAGATGTATCCATCTGGAACTGATCCTGATGAAAAGGTTAAATACAACAGCAAATGAATGAGTTCCTGCACCTTGTACAATACCCACACATCAAGAGAACAGGGATGCTGGCAAACACCCCTGATGATAACCAACCACCAATTCCCAGGATGGAGTATCCAGCTTCGGGGATCTGTTAAAACATTCCTGCTGGCTAAGGGTACTTGTGATCTGGTTCCATCTGCTTTTTATAAGTTTAGAACACACTTCAATAACCTAATTTTAGAAAAGGACAGATAAAAATGTAAACACTGGCAGCCCAAGGCCGCAGCATGTCAAACAACATCAGTGACTGCTGTGAATAAAAATGCTAATTTTAAAATTAATTGCATGTCATTCTGTGATACAATCCACTTATCTTTCTTGTTTTCTTGCACATTTAGAGAGAAAAATACATATTGATGTATTCACAAAACCACTGAGGACTTTCCCCCTCTTGTACTACACTTACCCAGTCAAAATGTACCTTTAGTCTCCAGCCTTGGAAAGCATTTAATATAAGATAAATTATCTTTAAGAGGCAACAAATACATTTTCCAATAATTTTCTTTCCTCTCCAAACATCAAAGAAGCTTAAATACCATGGAAACACATATCACAAATCCCCCAGACACGGGTCTTTATCAGTCCCTTTCATATACAGCACAACTAAAGCTCAGAAAGCGTAAATTCTTTGCATAAAAACACAAAATAAAGCCATGACAGACCTGAGGAGGGAAAAAAGTCAGATATCTGATTTGAGGTCTTAATATCTCGTCTGCAATTCACAAAATTCCCAGGATGTACTTAAAATTTTACTTCTATTTCCAGTACCTTATAATAATTACAAAAGAATGGTCTGCAGCCATAACATAAAGCAGTGCCATGGTAGCTCCTGACTTTATGTGTCTATATATACACACACACACAAATGATTTACTATAATCATCAAGGCTTTCAACATTAAACACTTGATCCTGAAATCCTCAACCAGACAAAAGCTCAGCACACAGAAAATTCTGCCTCATCCAGGACAGACTCTCATTCTCCTAAACCAGATTAGGACCTCGGTGTTGACTCATTTATTCCACCACCAACAGCACGTCCACAGGACTGACTGGTCTGTGTATAAATATTGGAATTAATGTTCAAAGGGCAAATACACACCTCACCCCTCAATATTCTGCTGTTTGTTAGTCAGAGCTTTAAGATTTGAGTCCAGAGCCTCTCTGCTGTAAACTGGCCCAACTCCCTGGCTTCAGAGGCAATTTGCTGAGTTAGCTGGTGATCTGGATCTCTCTGTTATTGAGGAGGGACTGCCAGACACCCTTGAGAACAGATCCTTTCACTTCTGTGATGCCAAAAGCCTCCTTGGAAGTGCCTGGCCAGACCCCAGGCAGCTCTTGTACCTCTCTCTGTTTTGCTCACCAAACAGCCCCAGAAGTTGGCTTTGCATTGCAGCCCCTATTCTGAAAGGCAGTTGGGCAATTCCAAAGCTTATGAAAGCAATTATCATTATAGCACTGCTGTGATAATTCAAACACTGCCAGCTGTACATGGGCCTATTCAAATGTACAGCTGTTACATGGGTAATGAAAAATTACAAAAGCTTCAGATCCTGTGCCCCATGCCTTCTCAGGCTGCTCCATTACAGGCTCAGTTACTGCCATCCCTGTTGATGACAAAACACCAAAACAATAGTGTCCTTTTCTGTGCTTTCTTGTAAACAATTGGTTCCCTCACCACCTCCTCCAAGTAATAAAAGTGGTAATATATTTTACAACTATGTCCAGTACAGGATTAAACCGGTATCAAGTTAAAAACAGAAAAGTATTAGCTGATTCTCTTCTGAAACTGCTGCCAGCTTTGGTCTAGAAGCCTCCTATGCTTGGTCACCTTTGTCTTCCACTGCCATTGCCGAGTCTCTCTGTTGTTCTTCTGGATCCCCTGGAAGAATACTCGTGACTGTCTGGAGAAGTGACTCGATCTGCTCCTCTGTGAGCCTTTCCTCACTTTCTTCTACCATCTGCAGGTCAAAAAACAATCCATTGTCATCATTAAATCCACACTTCCTTCCTCAGCTCCAAAGAGTAGAGCTCAACTCATCGGGAAATACTTTGTCAATGGAGGCAAGATACAGTCTGAGCTCATTACAAAAGCATTTTACAAAGCAGAACTCTTGCAATATTTAAAAAAAAAAAAAAAAGAAAGGAGAGCTCCATTGTTAACCACTACAATTGGCACTCTGGAATGAGACCCTGCTTCCCTTCCAACAAGGAACACACCATGCTCAGAACAGCCTTTCCTCCCTGGTTTCTCCTCAAGTCTCTCTCAACCTACACATCCATGTCTTGAGCCAGGCTTTTCATTTAGGTCTCCTTCAGACCTACCTTCCAGACCTGTTTTCCCAAGTTCCTGTGCTTTCATGTGAGCACTGAAATGAGATATCCTGAGAGTGGTTCCCTGAACCTTGGCACCTGGACTGTAAGTAACCAGGCCATAAAAGAAACCACCTAATCCTCCAGCAGCTACACTTTACTGGAATTTGCTTAGACTGGAGATTCCTGGGTATAAAGGCATTTAAAAAGCTCTGAGCAACACAAAATTTGCTGTCACAAAATCAACTATATGATTCCATGAGATTAATTGGGGACCTACTCCCACTGTGGAGCTGTGGGAACTCTTATATCACTGCCACCAGTAAAACAACTGCCCTAATTTATAGGCAGCTGTTAAAAGGGAAAAAAGCTTGTCAGAGGACTGGAAAAGCAAGTCAGAAGAACTCTTCAAACGCAAATGAAACCAATTAGGATTGTGGGGTTTGAGTTTTCTTTTTTTTACAAAGTCCTTTAAAATGTCCTTTGAAGAGCAGTGATTTATATTAATTATGGTTCCAAGTCAATGCAGGTTTAATCAGCTCCAGCTATAAAGTGTCAGCTACTCAGATGCATCGTGCCTTCTGAAAAGCTGAGTGGTATATTCAATTAACTTGTTTTTTTTCTTCAGAGTCCTACGAGCCCTCTTTGCACAGTCTGATCATTGTTCATCAGCATTATCCACAGATCCTGGCTGAGTGGAAGTGCACTCAGCTCAAATCCACTCATGTAGCAAAAGGCAGACAGTGAATATCCATCTGCAAATGACTGTTTCTGGGGACCATCCCCGACCAAAGGATGAAATTCCCTGTGGAGTGGCTTTCCAAGTACTGTTAGCTCAAGAACTACTGTAGGACACTGGCTTGAACAACACTCCTGGCTCTTGTTCCAGCCACCTGCTACACTGTACTCCATGTGCTAAAACACACTAAAATACACTAAAAACACACTAAAAATCCTCCTTCTCTGTGAGAACTGCTGCAGTGGGGTCAGGTGATTGCTGCCGGGCTGCATCCAGAGGGGATCATTCCAGCAGCCTGACCAGCACACCTTGGAGCATCAACACCATACCATGAAATGTTGAAGTGGAAGGTGTCCTTCTCCACAGCAGGGAGGGTGGAACTGCACGTTCCTTCAGGTTATTCCCAACCCAAACCACTCTGGGGTTCTGTGATTCCATGATAAAGTAAAGTATGTTACACCCACTCCTAGGTACCAATCCTGCTGACTCTGCATTACTCTACAGATGCCCTATGCTATTAAATTTCTTAAGAGGATTATCAGCCTGGTTTTCAGACTGGATTATAGTGTTATTAATTACTGTTACATTGAATTTTAAAGGTGACAGCCCCACAGCAGCAGGAAAATACAAAGAACCAGCCCACATGCTTTGGACAGGCAATATCATTCCAGGCAGGATGACTGAGCTCTTAGTGGCCAGTGTCCCCCTTTGCTTCCTGATCTTCAGAAAAATGGCACTTTGACTAGTTTAGATTTGATTTATTGGATGGCATGAAGTCCACCCATTTTAATTTTATCCTTCCCTATTTATATCTCCCCTCTCCCTTCTTTTTCGCTGAACACTTTCTCCTTCAGGTGCTTGCTTCAGGGAGACAGAGTTAAACACAAGGACAGAATCGAAACTCAAACAGAAAACTGAGTTCTAGATCAGCACCAACTCTTATTTAAGACAGAATATACTTATGTGAGAATCTAATCACTGTTTTCCTGCATGTTCCTCAGTGAGCACATCACTCCAAATGAGTAATGCCCCAACTCCCAGGACGAACAACCCCGTTGATGTCATTTGTACTGGCTGAGCACGAGCCCTGCCCGGCTGACAAACTGCAGACACGACTTGGACAGTGACAGATGAGCTCTGGTGACTGCCCTGGCAGCTCAAGGAATCACACTTTAGCACAGAGTTGATGAGGGAAAATAGGCTCTCGTGTTTCAGACGCTCCGGTGCCGTAACTGAGAAAAGCATCTTTAAAGCAAGATGCCAGACACTGCTCTGAGAAGGGGGGGTGTAGCTCCAGATTCCCTTCTGCTGACAGATCCCTAACCTCTGCCAGAGGGAAGTGGTAATTCCTTAAACTACTGCATCAGCCTCACCAAGTGCTCATCCCTCTTGGTGCCTCTCCACCAGCTCTCACATCAGGAACCACCAAAAGATACAAATTTGGCAGGAGGGACAGACAGCTGACTATTCAGGTTGATGTTCCAGTGCTATTTTGCTGTGATACCATTCAAGAGTTCAAAGGATCAAAAGCATAAACTATAAAAATCATTTTTTTTCAGTCTTTAGGGAAGTGAAAAAAACCAGCCTGAGCCTGACTTTTGAAAACATAAGCAGTGAGGAAGCAGCAAAGCAGAAGGTCAAAAGGCAGAATTCAAAAATTAAGCACAGACAGCATGCAGATAAAGAGACAAATGAAACTGTCCTAAAGGAAAACAGATCTCAAGGGGAACAGAAGGTCACCCAGAGGCTTTTCCTGCGTTCAACAGATGTTCTCACAGCCTTCTGATTTACAACTATAAGACAAAATGCTACCCATAGTACTAGAAAAGATGGTGCTGAGAAATTATGTGTAAGAAAAAGCCTAACAGGCAAAATGAAACGACTGTATCCAAGTACCTACTTTTCTAGCAAGCATTCTACCAACCTACAAAAAAATATCTAACAAAAAGCCTTGCTAACCTCTAACTTGCACTTGGCTGAAACTGCTCAAGCAACAGACTCAAACCATAAGCAGTCAGGAATGCAGAGTTTATACTAAGGAAAACAAAAATGCAAATGTTTGAAGTAAGTGTATGACCTAAGATGTTGATGTTGGCAGTGCCACACACCCCAAATGGAAACAGCTCACCCTCACACACTGTGCCATGTGCAAAGTTTAGGGTCTCGTCAACCCAAGTGCTGCTGACCCACCTATTTTCAATATTCAGGGATTTGGGCAAGTAACAGAACTGGGCAGTGTTACAGAAACACAATTTATAGAGAAAAAGCACCCTGATGTGCAGCAAGACAAGCATGTCCCTTTCCCAGGGCTGAGCGAGGGGTTTTGGAAGTAAACACAGGGAAGGGCAGTGAGCTGTGGCAGCTCTGTGGCTTCCGTAATAAATAATTCCCAAGTCACTACATTCAAGTCTAAACTATCCCAAAATAACTCCAGGGTTTTAGTAGCAAATGCTACAGCACATCAGTGTCATTCATACATACACACAGGATGAATTATCTGTGAAATGCAACTATGTGGTCGAGATAATTCAGTCAAGTCAGGCCTCACTAATAACTTCTATTTCACCCAAACTCATAACAGTTAGTTATTAAATTCCCATTGCAATATACTCATACAGGAAGCAATTTTCACATTTCAGTTCCCCAATCCTCTGAACAATATAGAGCTAATGCTCTACACAATACAATCTACAAGACAACCAAAGAAGGAATCAAGAAAACCTTATTTGGGAACTTAATTGGCATAAAATTCCTACAGCTAAAAATAAAAGGGGTATGTTCCCTCTGCAGCTCATATTTGCTTTTCAAGCCTGGGTACCCTGAGTTGCTTCTTACTTTATTGATAATGTATTGATAAAAACAGCCAGGTTTTCAGAACTGTGCAATATATACAAGTATTCAGAGGGCAGCTGAAGCCACAGTTCTACTCATGTTTGAGAGCAATAGTACTTTTATTTAGAAATCTAATAACCAATTTTTCACTTGCTTAAGCACCTTGTGCATACAACTGTTAAGCCAGAGCTTATGTTTGGACTTAATTTCAAGTATCTAAGAGCTCCAACTAACTTAACTGGACTTGAAGCTTAAAATGAGGCAAATGTTTACTAAATGGAGAATAGCTCAAGAAAATGATGCCAGTTTTCCTTTTCCTCTCTAGATACATCTGTGCATGGGCTTTCTAACCCTGGAAAATGAAACAGGCATCTGATCTCCATCCCTGAATCTTGCTGTAAGAGAATGCAAAGACAAATCCCTCTCCAAGTGCAGCACGAAGCCCTGGCAGATGCCTCGTTCCATAACGGAACCACTACTGGGAACCAGAGCTGTGCTCATTAAACAGATGTGGATGTGGGATATTTTACTGCCTCCACGCAGCCCTTCCCAGCTGCACATTTTAACAGGAGCTTTTTTAAATGGAGCACTATGCCTGAACTTCTCAGAGGAACAAAACAACCATAATTACCAAATCAGGACGTAATCAGCAGAATGACATTAAGCGCTGAGTCACGTCGAGACCTGCTGGTGAATTCTCAGGGCAGAAAGTCATTTTTCAGAAGCTTTTAAAGATTTGGTTTGTGGAGGAGGTAAATCAGAAAGTAACAGCTAGTCTATTAAGATAATTTCAAAGATTAAAGCGTTTGCTCATAAATGAAATGTGCAAATCTGTACCTTCACAGTGCCACGTACGAATGTAAGCACAAAATATGAACACAGACATACACACACATAATTGTGTAGGGTTGTTTTTTTTTAGTTGGTGAAACAAGGACAAACACTTTGGAACACGTTTTTCCTAATTAAAACCATACCTTTTCTGCTTGCCCAAATAAAAGCCAAGTATAAGAAACTTCATCGTCCTTGCTGTGCTTCTTTCAAGCTTTCAATGCTGATGTTTATTTTGTTTAGTCTCCTGAGACAGGAGGACACAGTGCAGATGTTGAAGAATAAATAAAGCCACACTGAAGAACCCCAAAAAGTAATGAAAGAAGTCAGGAACTGTCTGAAGGACAAGTAATATTTTTGGGGAACAAACCTCAGCATCGCAGAGCAGAACAACCTGTGGGCCAAAAGCTACTGTTTATTTGAATAATAAGCCAAGAGTTCTATTTAAAAAATAAACAGTAAATACAGCAATAAAGGAAATACGGGTTCTGATCACTTCCAAAGCAATCAAGCACATAATTTAACTCCAGTGTAGGAGGTAGATGTTTGATGAGAAAATGACTGTTATTTCCTCCTTTGAGCAGTAATTTGAAATTGTTCAGCATTAACACACTAATAGGAAAAAAACACATAAAAAAAGAAATAAAGTGAAAGACTGAATGATTGGATTAATGTCCCTCAGAGCTAATTAACCAAGTGGGAAGCAGAATATATTGTTGAGAAAATAAAATGTTTAAATCCTCTAAGGTCTTCCATTTTCCAGAAGAATACTTTACATTTTTACTTTCTAGCCAAGAATAAAAGAGAATCTGCCAGCCTGGTTATGCAGAGCACACAGGTACAAGGTTGTTTGGTCTGACAGATGGAAATCCAGTTTTAAAAAGCACAGAATTAAAATCTACTTTTCCACTCTGAGAGAAGTAATTTGTTCATTAGAAAAGATGATGCTTAATCTTCAACCCCACCACAGTTCAGCACCAAGCAAAGCTGAACCACTGTCATGGTTAGATGAACATCAGTGTCTTTTTTCTTCCTCCTTTGTGAATTACTGAGCCAGGAACAACATATGTTAAAGATTAAAACAGGAGGTCAAGATAGCTGCAGTGTGTACAGTGTTTTACCCTGTGGGGTATGAATTAGAATTTCATGCTCCTTTTGTTGCTATTGTTGTTTGAAAATAAACCCTGGCACACGGTCTGGAAAAGACAAATACGGACAATGGCACCAATTTATGCATAAAAGACTTACAGAAGACCCTGGGATCAAAAGATCACAACATAAATTTTGGGTTTTTAGCTTAAATACATTTTTATCAAAACTGATTTATTATTTGCATACAACTAAAACCAGGGAATTTCGTAGAGGGAGAGTAAAAAACTAAAAAACTGGAAAGGCAAAAAAAGCAACAATAAATATACCTATCCTGTCACATGAGCAATTAAAAGCCTGTCAGGTAAATTTGTCTTCATTCCATGGACAGGCAACACTGAATAGGAGTTTGAGACATCAAAACTCTTTGAGGAAGTGAGAGATAGATATGGCTTGTTTAGCATTTTGTTTAAAGCTTTTTTAAAAAGAAGACTGATGTGCCTGCATTAAATGAACCGGTCAGAAGCTTTCATCATCATTTATTTCTGATTCAACTCCAGGAGCAGCTCACAGCTTTTAAGAGGCAGGGGGAAGTTCAGTGGAAAGAGAATCAAGGCAATTTTAGACCCTAATATTCACTTCTCAGTAGGTTGTCTCCCATCCATCAGCTGCAGTGAATTGACTTGCCTGCATGAAATCTGTGTGTGGATAATCTTCTCCCCACGGACATCAAAGGCAAACAGAGCAGCCTCCCCTGCTCTGAGTTATTTCACACTCACAGAAGACAGAGGGTTGGTGTGTTCAGTGATTGCTACAATCTCCTTCCCCTGTCCTCACCAAAACCCCAAATGGTTCAAGACAGCAACTGAACAGCAAAATCATTTCCTTGCTGAGGCTCCCAGGCTCTGGATTTCACTTAAATGAACCACTCTGCAGTTTCCCAGCAGTTATTGAGCTCAGAAGACTTTGATGCACTTTGATGAGGGAGTAAATGTACTGCAATTTCGGGGAGGCTTCATCTAACGCAGCATTAACAACTCAGCCAACTCAGATCCCTGTAATGCTAGTTTTGGAGAAACCAGCCCTGGGAATTACAGGGGAATTGCAATGGAACAGGAGTAAGTACATCCCCAACACCTCCATGACAACAGAAATTCAGGCTAATCCCCAAATGTACGAATATCACATTTTTCACAACTGACCATTAGGGACAGGTTCTGGATAAATAATGAACTGCCACTGAACTCAAATCTCGTGTCTGTGTTTCTGCAAGTTTTAGCAATGAGTTTTATCTAACTCTGACACTACAAACCTTGGAATATCCAAAGTACGACACTCTACAGAAACCTGACTTCTAATATAAAGGCCCAAATTTCTTATATTTACCTCCTGGACTTCAAACATGACACAGAAGCAAACTATTTTCAATATTTTATGGGGAGGTAAGATAATAAGGAACTAAGGAGGATTAACAAGGAGAGGAGGGAAGACACAAACAAAACCATACAGTCACCTGAAAGCAGCAGAAGATTATTGCATTTAAAGAAGGGAAAAAGAAACTGTCTATGGTAATAAAATAAATCTGTGTCTAAGCACATGAGGCTAACAAAGGCACGAGACAGGCTCCACATCATGGCTTATGACTAAGTGCCTAAGCAGAGCTCATGAAGCCTTAATGTTCTTTGTTGGGTTGATGATTGACACTGATCTCCTCAGTCACAAAACACAGCATTAATTCCTCAGCTAGAAACATTCTTCCAAGAGACGCCTTCAGCGTTATAATCCCTATTCTGTGGCTACAGAAGAAAAATAGTCCTACTGGTGCCTCTTTAATCCTTCCCCTTTTTGCAGCAAAATACAATCCTGTTACTCCTCGCTTTGGTTTCAGGTTAAGATGGCAAACAGATGTTCTTAATGCAAGAGATCTTCAATGAAATAATATCCTGATTATAACAAGCTCTTTATTACCACGGGGGTTTGGATTCCTAAGGAGATCCTTCCTGGAATATAATCATCTCTTTCTATTTAGTGACAATCCCTCTTTACACCAGAATTATGCTTAACAGGTTGGCAATGGCTACTTTCCATGAGGAAGTCTGTTTATATCCATATCTCATTCTGCATCACTCCTCACAATTTGCTATCAGTCATTAATTTCTTTTTAGCACGTTTGGTTTTAGTGCAACACAGAACTCTGCCACCAGAACAACCATGTCATGGCAGCTGTCAAAAAGTGAAGTACATGATTGCAGAGCTGCAGCAGCAAAAAGACCCAGGTTAAATATAATCTTAGTTGCAATACTCTAGTTATTAACCTTTAATGACTGCATTAAGCATTTTAAACATGTGACACTGAAGCAAAAAAGAGGTGGAGAATCTGTCTGAGAGAAAGATGGGCAAGTCTCTAAGGAGGTCTCAGACAGGAAGCTGAGTGGATTTGAAACAGTGGATGTAAAGATGTGCATAAAGGGATATATTCAATCACTGGCCATGAGAAAGTAATTATTCAATTGATCTTCAAGGTTAAAGCTGCTTCCATTTAAGCTTTGAACAGTCAGAGCCATTGTTACTCACCAGCTGGATTTCAACTGCCGTCACAGGCCTGTGGTTCAGCAGCTGGAGCTTTTCTGCCCTGGTTAAAAGCAAAGTGTAAGACAATCCACATTACTATGTAATTTGAGGATCCCCTCAACTGACTGGTGTGATGCAAATACATTCCTGATAACTTAGGCATGAAATGCCACTGCCAGGAATAATTCTGACTGGGTTTGCAGTGTGGTTTAATCGACATAATTTGGGTGTTTTGAACACAGTATTTTCTTGTGTGTTCAGACAGGCTGCTGTTGCCACCTCTAGTCCAAGGTGGCAAGCAGAGACATTTAGACCATTACTGTACAAGCATTAATTAACATGCACTGTTACTTTGTTAAGGCTGTGCAGAAATGCTAAACAACTCATCAGGAATCAGAGACTCTTCTGTTATGAACACACAACCACAAGAACAATTATCATACCTAAGAAGTTACAATCCATCAGCCAAATGGCAATAACTTGCTTATTCTTTTAGCCTGTCACAAACACAAAGTAAATACAAACAGACCACTATTAGTAAACTACAATTGTGAAGAACTAAATCTTGGAATTTATTACTATTTAAAGGGCATCTTTGATGCATGTTGAAACCAATTCTGAAGGGTTTTCCCTCAGTTTACTGCACCTGTGGGTTGCTTAGAAAGGAAACCTTCTGGCTTTCAAGAGAGTGCACAGATCACTCCTCGCAGGCGTTTACAACCAACGGGGCGATGTCTGTGTGTCTGGAGACACCTCAGAGACACCATCTCAGCTCAAATGGCCTCTGACAGCGTCTGCCCCTGAAATCCAACCCCCTCACCAGGCACTCCAGCCCTCCATCAGTCAGGGACAGGCACAACCAAAGCCCGAGGGGCTCAGGAGGAGCCTGTGAGGAGCAATGCCTTGCTCTGGTCGTACATTCACACACGTGGACGTGTCCAGAGACTGAATTCAGCCCTTCAGCAGCACACAGCTGACCCCCAGAGAATAAGGCCCTGCATTTACCCACTGAACACACAGAATGAGCAGCACTGGCATCACATTTTCCTGGCTGATGTGTCCTGAAGGAAAAATCCTGTATTGCCACAGACTGGATGATCCAACAGACCCTCTTCAGCTAAAATGCCCATAACTCCAAGTGACTCAGTGATGGGAACACTTGGAGAAGAGAGAAGAGAGGGGACTGTGGCTCAGCAAAGACAACTGCTCTGCTGATACCAAACTTTGTTACACCAGAGGGTTTTGTGATGTGTAATCACAGCCCTTAAGAACAGAAAACAGCTCCAAAGAGATGACATGCTGACTGTCAGTTTTAGATCCAACCTGCTGGCAATAAAACCAAAACCCTAAAAAAAAAAAAAAGGCAGTTTTTAATTGACCCACCTAGTCCCTGAGTTATTCTGCCATCCTTTTTATAAATGCTGGAAAATCATTTTAATAGTTTTAATTACGACTTTCAGCTTCAGAAGAAAAGCTCGCGATTTTTAAATGAACAATTCACAACAGAAAGCTCAAAGAAACCCTCCTATTTACTTATTACTGGACTGCTTTGCTTTTGGATAATCGAGGGTGAAAACCAAATATGTTTCCACTGGTGGGAAGCAGTGAATACACCTCCTTTTTTTTCCCCTGCTAATCACTTAGACCTATTTGGCAGGTTGATGTTTACAACATGAGACTGTGGAGAGCATGGCACGATTTAACTCTGAGCTGAGAGCACCACTCGTGGCTGCTCTACTGTCAAAGAGATGAGGTATTTATAACTGCTGCCATCTACTACTGTCATAACTAATGAAAGGACAGATATAAAACCTCAGTAATGACAGAAGACGAGCACTGAAATCCTTTAAAATTGAAAGCAGGTCATTTAGGGAGTCAATGAGAAAAAACCCACCCACGTAGAAGTGAACAGAGCTGGGTAAAGATATTAAATACCATCTTCACTGTACAAAAGTCTGGCCAATTCAGCTGAATGCATGAAAGATTTAGTGCTTTTTCCTCAAGAGCTGGGAACTGCCTGGTTCAGTGCCTGGAGCACTCGATGGAGGTGCAGAAGCTGGTGCTCCAGTCCTGGCTTTCAGTGTTATTTGCTTTTTAGTCCCTGGCCAGGCCTGAGTTTGTGCCTCAGTTTCCAGACCTCTGAAACAGAGAAGTTTCTCTGAGGACACCTATTTGTAAAAGACTTCCTCCTCCTCCCAGAGCCCTACTTACAAAGACAGGCTGTGTAATGAATTCATACTTTATACAAGTTTCTCACTGCACTGCACTCACATGCCATTTCTGAGATCAGAGCCTTTTCAAACAAGTCTTTCTTCTCTTTTGCAGCAAAACACATCCCAGTTCAATCCTACAGTTCCACCACAGCTGCAGACAAAGCATATTATTTGAATCTTACAAAAGAACACATAAAATAAATTTTCTCATCTTCTTGTTTTCCAAAGCAGCACCTCTGAAATTTCTCGCCAACAAAACTTCAAAGCCAAATAAACTGAATCAAATAGCCAAAGCCATTTCATGCCTGAGCTAAAGAATGCAAACTTGACTTATCCAGAGGTATTTTAAAGCAGGTAGAGCTCCATCATGTTTATCACAGGAAGATCACTGGCAGAGCAGGAAACAGAAATAAATTAAAACCAATTACACATCGTGACTAAAACAATCAATTAGTGAAATTGTTCATGTTTCCTGAAGACAAGAAATACAGAACACGATAAAAAAGGTCACTTCTCAAAGACCTTTTGCTTATAAGCATTAACATCACTCTAACTCAGTGAATTGATGTAAGTTTTACAGGAGGGCCAAAGGGATCTCAAACACATCATTTCAGCAAGGGTGGCACCATTCAGGGGATTTGCAGTTTTAAAAATATGTACAGAAGAATGAGAGAGAACCTGCAAATCATTAAAATATGTTATCTGAAGAATTTCATGCCTGTTTTTCATCAGCAAAGCTCCCTACTGGAAAAAACTGACGCAGAACATCACACAAAGGAATTCACAGCAGGGTGCAAAAACCCCAAAAGCGACACAAATGAAGGTGCTCGTGTAGCATGAACACTAATTAACACTAAAACACAACAACCTTTAGCCATGTTCACACATAATTACGATGTAAGCAATCTATTTGTTTTATTTCCATCGAGATTGAATCCAAAGGCACAGAGAAATAACCAACTATTCAGTAACTGCCACCTGAAAGTTGGTACCAGGCCAGTTACTTGCTGCTCTACCTAAACATTGTTCTGATAATGAAGATATAAAGTTGTTTTATTTTGGAAAAACATTGCAAGATTGCAAAGGGAGAACTGATTGTAGTTGAAGATGTGGTCAAACATGTTGACACACACGTGGGTACACCACATGTTTGGGGAGATCTGCTCCTCCTGCAACAGAGAACTGTAGCATTTCTCTCTCCTCCTCTGCTCAGTAAATATCCAGCTCCCAGGATTATTTAAGAAACATCAAGCCTGTGTGTGCAGTACATGAAGGGTTATCTCTGCTTATTCAGGAGTTCCATGTGAGCAGCAATTCCTGCTGTTTGCCCAGAACACAGACATGGACCCCAAGTGTGAGATCCAAGACCAGCCCAGGGGACCCTCTGGATGGTTTGGTCCCAGCTCTTCTCCCCCTGGGCAATTTCTGACCTTCCAGCTCATCACAAATGGAGTGACCAGGAGGCCACGAATCTTGGTATCCCCTGGAAACAAACACTCAAAAAATGTCTCTAAATTTCATTGGTGTGATAGAAAATTGGGTTACTGAGCCCTCAACACTTCAAAGCAGCATATGTGGTATGAGCTGGAGCTCAGAACCCACCACACTGATCTTTTTAACACTGACACCAAAAACTGACTGCCAGGATCAGGGTCTCTGTGTACCTGGAATTTCTTGACAGCACAGGCACAAATTTGAACCTGAATAACCCCAATTCCATCAAAAACAAGCTTTAAGGAAGGCAAACTGCAAGCCTGAACATGCATCAGGATCAGTCCTGACTGCAGTATTTGCCATGGGCACAGACATAAGCCTGAATTTAGTTCGTGCTCCCTTAAATCTAAAAAATAAAATTAACTTTTTTCAACTCCTATGAATTCATCTTCACACTTTCTATGGAATGCCTGTTACACTGACACTCATTAAATAAAAAGGGTAACTGTTCCCATTCATCTAAACAGAAGGTGAAGGATATTTTCAGCTTAATTGCCCCCAAACATACATATTTGTATTTTCTCTGGACTGCCTGGATTTTAGTAACAGTTTGGAACATGAAAGCTGCTCTTTCAAGAGAAGAATACATACAAAAGATGAGTGACAGCTGAAAGTAATTTTCTCACATAAAAGCAAGATTCCACTAATCAGAGTTAATGGGCCGTGTTACAGACTTGCACAGGACCTGCCTGGTGAGAAATCTCAAAATGGCAATTACTGCTGTGGGGCTGAGCAGAGCCTCCTCCTGCTTCCAGGCCACATCCAGCAGCTCTGGGACTCAGCTGGAGCCAAGATCAGCACTTCCAGCTGAGGGCAAAATGCTGTGGAGTGGGCTTGGGGGACACACAAAGCTCAGGCTGCAGGAGACAAAAATGTGTGCAGTTATGGGCAAGAAAATGGGTCTGAGGTCTGTGTTTGAGGGGAGGGTGTCTGCTGCAGGAGCTGAGGATGGAGGGTTACAAGAGTGTAATTCTAAAAAACAGTTCTCCTAAAAGACAAAATAACAACCCCACTGTCGTGTGTCTAACATCCCTCACAGCACAGACAGCACGTTGTTACAGTACATCAATTCTAAACAATAATAAAAATAGTTAAATTCTGTTGTGGAAATTAAAGGCAAAATGTATCCCATGACATCAGCAGTGAGCAAACTCTTGCAGCATTTATATTTTAACCAAAATCTCCTATTAGGTATCTTGGTATTGCTCATCTTTTATCTACTGAGCTCCTAGACAGTACATAAATACATAAGCAAGCATGTGCTGCTTTTCTAGTAAGAGATCTACAGTATCAGTGCCAAGATACAGCACACAAAGCTACAAAGAAACCCCCTTAAAACATCTGTGACTGTGCAGAGGCAAATTTATCCCCAGGAATGTATGTTTTATAGTTGCTAGGAAAACCATAAAGTAACAGCTGTATACATAACCAGGGATTTTATTACTGCTGAAAATACTTCAGAGTTGCCTTGAGCCGACCACGGCAACTCGTGTGTAACATCTGAACCCAGATCACAGGAGCCCCAAAATGTGAAATCACAGTGCTCTCTGCAATTCCAAGCCAGGACATTTCTCCAGGACGAAATCTGAGGGCTGACAGTGGTTATCTGAATGCAAAAAAACCCAAAATGGAGCCACACTGCTCCAGATCAGAGGGTTAATTTCCAATCAATCCAGAGGGAAACACAAAAGCCTTTGTAAAGTCTATTAAATGATGCCATTGTTAACCAAGCATCATCCTGACTTGCTGTTGAATATTCATTTGGAAAGCTTTGGAGGAGACAAAAATTACAAAGTAAATCCTTCAGCCTTTAATATTGTAGAGGTTGTAGTTTTTGGCAGGAATGAGGGAAAATACTTTCTAAAAGTATCACCGATTTTCAGCTCAACACTTCCCTGACTGTGTTGATTTAAAGACAAAAAGGGCAATGTTTCTGTCCAGTTTTTTAAAAATTATAGTAATATGCAGTGCTTGGAAATTTGGTTATTCCAAAATTAGATCCAAGATAGGCTATCAGTAACAGGAAGAAGCACAAGTAGAGCCAGTTTTCATTTAACCATAATTACAGAGCTCAAGCTTAATAAATGTTCTTTTCATGCAACTCCACTCCCCCTACCTTACAAAATATGAAGCCATTCCAGGGAGAAAAACTGGAAAATTAGCTGCTAGTGGCATACTGTATTTCCAAGTACAACATGGCTTACTGTACTGCAGTGTTAGCCAAAGCTTGAGGCCTCAACAAGGTAATAATAAAATTCACTGTCAGTTCAGAGGTTTTTCATTAAAAAAAAATTCTCAGTTCTACAGTTTCAATTTTACCAAAATAACTGATGAAATGGATAAAAAACCGTGGAGAAAACTGTGCTTTACCAAACCTTACTATACGAGTGAAATATATGTTTAGATGTCTTTGAATTTGCTCCATGTAGCAAGGCAGCTCTCTGAAACGACTCTGAAAGGTTTGTTTGCACACGTTAGTATTTACATTTAAAATTTGCCTTTTAGGTGTTGTGTTTTTTTTTTTCCCCTGCCTGTAACACTAACGAGAAAAACCCATCAGAAAACGGATGCTGGTCTGTTAACCTGGTATTTTGAGTAGCAAATATCAGCAGTAACTGATGACAGGAGGTGATTTTACAGGAGCTGCACATCTGCCAGCACAGTGCTATCAGCTCTCTCCTGTGCAGCCTGGCACGCATCCTGCACGGTCAGTCCTGCAGGCTTGGGGAAGGAGGGCTGGAAAAATAAGAATTCCCTTGATTAAAAGCTCCGTTGAGCCTCAATCGCTGCTGTTTCTCCGGATGGTGTCTGGCGTCCCTTCCCTCGCTGGGAATTCTCCCATGCACGAGCACAGCCTAGTGCCGAGGGTTGTCATCACACCCTGAGCAGGGCGAGCAGCTCGTCCCACCGCCTGCCTCCAGAGGGGCTTTAGGTAGGGCTGCAAATCCCTCTCTTACCTTCAAAGTCCTTGCATTAGAAAAGAAGTTTCTGAGCCTAATTATGAGCTCGAAGACACCGTTTAATTGTTTCCTCCTTGTTTAGAGACAGAAGAATTTAAAGCAGAGGAAGCAGCCTGAGAGGATGGGGTGTTTCTAGCCAGTCATGCCCTTTAACCAGATTGATTTGTCTGAGGACAGACACCAGCTAACACATATATCTATATCTTAAATCAAATCAGGTACCTCCAGAGAGCTGTTACCAGCACAGACAGTGTTTGACCAGCTAAGAGACTAAGGGAGAGAGCCCATCTTGGAGTGCCTTACCCAGAAAGGAAGCAGCAAAGGCAGACTCTGGAATTCATTACTCTTCGTGGGAGGAAAGGTCATCACAGAGATCATGCAAGGAAGGTCCTGGAGAGCAAACACTGCAGGTTCTTTCCTCTCAGAGGGAAGAAAGCTCTCCACCAGATAGCTGGAATGAAATCTCTAGTGAAGTCTTTTATACAAACACCACCTCCATCCCACGGAATGGAAATGATCAAAGCCTTTAGTTTTTCATCTATTCAACAAGAGACTAGTGTTGAAATGACCTTGGTTATGAACCAAAGGGTAGTTCAAAATTTCCTGGGAGGCATTACTATTTTAAGTGGTTTGAACACAAAGTGCATTATATAGTAATTGCACACCATATGCTTTCTGTGTTTTGGTGTGAAGAGGCTGCCAGATGGGCTCTGACACTTCTAAACTGAAGTGTCTGAATGGAAAAGATCAGAAGACGGAAAAAAGTGTCAGGATCACACTAAACAATTCTGTTCCTTATTTTGTAAAGTGTATGGCAAATGCAGAGTTGGCAAGTTCTTGACCAGATGACAAAGATATTAACAAAGCAGAAGTTGTACAGGATGCTCACAAAACTAAGGTATCACCACCCAATGTGAGTTCTGATAAGCCATAAACAGAATAAATTTGCCACATAAAATAGTTGTTGGCTGTTCACTCTCATCCTTCTGCCATTATGCACGAGGAAATGACTTGGGAGTAATCCTCTTGCTTAGCTTACAGACTGATTCAGAGAAAAAGGACAGAGAGGATGATACCTAAACACAAAGGCACCTCCTAGCATCCATAACAAAATTAAATAGTCAAAAAGCTCATTTAAAGCTTGTAACTATTTCAGCCTTTGCAGCAGTGCTGTATTCCAGCTCACTGAACGAGCAGGAGTGGGAAGGTGAATATTTGGGTAGATCTTCTACAAAATATCTCAGCACCATGGGACACAGATTTTGTAGTTAGAAGTTTCTGTGTTATGACTCAAATAATTTAGTACTCCAGTCTTGCAGATCCCATGCAGGGGAGCAGCTGCAGTCAAGGTATCTAATGTGGTAAAAGAGCTCTCCTGACTTTTTGTAAGAGTTAACCCCAAGGTTCTGGACAAATTCTACCTGAAAGAAGTTTAAAAATGAGCTTTAAATAAAAATAAACCCTTTGACTTCTGGTGGGACTTTTATACCTGCATCATTCAGTTACTTTTTCTCTGAAAAATCCTACTCTGCCTTTCTGACTCCTGTTGCCTTTTTGCTGTGATAGATTGTTCTGCTGGTGCCTTCCTGAACTGCTGCCCTGTACAGACAGAACCAGCCTATTTCACTTCAAACAGGACTGTTTCACATTACCAGAAATGAAGGATGCTCACTATTTACTCAAGAAATAGTTTGTTCCCAGTTTTAAGACACTTTCCCTGCCATACCACCAGGTCTTTACAATAAGCAGTATTTTTATAATAGAGTATTTTCTCCATGCTTCAATACCTCTGTGCCAGAAAACAATTAGGACGCCTTCCCCACCACATAAATTAGTATCCTGCTATATAAAATGAGGACTAAACACTGACATACTGACCTGGCAACTTTAGTTCTACCAAAGCAAGCACTACAAGCCCAGTTCCAATATCCATGACAAAGCTTCCAAGTACCAGCACTCCTATGTCTGCAATTCCAGCAGCCCCAGAGCTGCTGATATCCTGGATGTGAGTGATTGTTTGTAGAGAGGGGGCACTGAAAGTCAACAAAATAGCTGACAATCTGCTTTCTACTCAACTTCCTCTGCTTTGGACAGGGTAAAAAACTTGCCCTGTAGCACTGCACCCTCCAGATGTTCTCACTGTATCACTGTTTTTGTGATACAACCAAATTAATAAAAGCCTCTTTCCCAGGGGATAAACTCCTCGGGAGTCCTTCCAGCAGGGAAGAAAAACAGTCAGTGTCTACACAGCATAAACCACAAACCACCCCTTTGAAGTGAAGGAGGAGTCATTTAGAAGCAGCTAAATATGAGTTCTTTCTGCTTTAAAAATCAGATGAGTGACTGGAGTGGCTCAAGGGGTTCCATTCCTTTGGGTCTGACTGTTCACAACAGGCTTCACTCACACTCTGCACAGAGGTTCAAGAGGATTATGTGTTTCAAGCACTGTGAACAGCCACTCACACCACTGCCAAAGAGGGAAAATGCCCTTTGAGTCTCCTTGTAACTGGGAAGGAAATCTTTTATTTTCTATGCAGAAATTCCCCAAATAAGAACAAACTGTATATTCAGCCTCATTAGAAACTGCAGAGGGAGGGTGGAAGGTTGATTGACATAATATTTTGGTAACTGAAATGTACGTAAATATAAATGTTATATAAATATGAGTGGACCAACAGCACATAAAGAAAAGACAAACATCTTACTTTCCTAAACTCAAGAAGAGAGTCCAACCCTGAGAGATGATCTGCAGCAGTTGGGGTTCACAGATTCATATAAAAATTAAGAGTAATGTTCTTTCCCATACTTCTATACTTTTGTTTACTTATTCCTTCCCAGGAATTTATTTGCTTATTGCTCTTTTTTTGCCTTTTAGAAATGAATACATTTTTGCTTAAGGACATTCATAAAAATAAGATAATAACAAACCAAGGATGAGTTGGGGGGGACTTTTTTTGCAGTTCTCTTACTGCATTCAAAACCCTTTTACAACTTCCAACTTCTTCCACAGAAAACACTCTATGAGCTCTTTGTGCTTGGACCATGTGAAACCATTCTGAAATCAATATACTGACAAGAATCTGTTTGAGAAATACATTGATAAACACAAGCCCACTGAAGGAAATCCTCATTCATGTAGGCATTAATGACTGAAGGAAAAGATGTTTGGCTGAGTCTTTAAACAATGGCAGAAAACACATGCATTAAAACCAGACAGATTATCACACACTGCACATGGGGATCAGTTTTTCTACACTGCCATGAGTTTATACTTCTGTTCAAAGGCACATCTGTACTTACTTGGTCAGCTTATGGCCTTTCATTGCAATGAGGAATTCTCTCACAGTCTCGGGGCTCTGGTACCTACAGGGTGTTTTTGAGATGTACTTCAGTGTCTGCAAAGGACAGAAAGAAAGAACATTTCACTGCACAGTTACTATTTGCTTTACCAGTTGTGTATGAAACAAGCAGACCTCGAAGAGCCTCCTTAGTACTACTCAGAAAAACTGGGAAAGCCAACTCAGGTTTTGGGGTTTGGCTTTCTATTTTTTTTTAACATATGGAAGTGCTGTCATAGATGAGACAGGTCACTCATACTGTTCTGCCTCCAATAAGAATATACTGAAATTTTCTGAGGGAGTAAGAAATCTTATCAAACTACAACTCCATGTACTTGAAAACCACATTAATACTTATCCACAAAGCCCCAACCCAGCCAGCTCCCCACACACTCAGGTGAGAAATACAGCTGTGACTATTCCCTCTGGGGCTCTGGACCAACATTATCTGACCTGTCCAGAGCCCAAAGTTGCACACTGAAGGGCACAGCAAAGGAGGGAGTTTTAGCTCTGCCTACTAAAATCCCACCTGCTGTTTTGTGAGGAGACATTTGCTCCCTTGGTCTGAAATAATCTCAGGTGATGGTAACACTGTGATCAAGACACACAGCTGTGCTGGATAGTATCACTTATTTACTCTTCCTTTTCAAACCAATAAATATTTACAGATCCACAGCTATTTTAAAAAGAACCAAGATAGGAGGCTTGGGGGTTTACTGTGGTGTTTATTTTTTTAATTGTTTTGTTTTTGTTTTTAAAAGCACTTAGGAAAGTTGAATTCCTATTCATCTTTAAACCCACATTACCTTCTGCCAAGTTTTCCTGTGCTCAGTGCCAGGGATACTCTCACTGCCAACCCATAAATCACTCTTTAAACCCTCTAATCTATGGTTGTTTTCATCCTTTATCTGCACATTTGGCAATGCTTTCTTGAAGTTCACAGAAGCAGATTAGGTGGGTTGCCACGAAATCTGAAAGGACACTGTACTATTAGAAATGTTTATCTGACTTGAAACAGTTTATCTTTGCTCCATTTTTTTGCATGTAACACCCACTAACCTCAGCTAACTTTTGCAGATGTTACATTAGTTTGCTTTATTTAAAACAACACAATTTCTAACAGATGGACAAGACACAATGTAATTCGACCTGAGTAAAAAAACCCCACAATTTGTTGATAAAAAACCCCCCACAAATTCCATTTCACAGTTGACTTTTCATTGGAAGTAGCTTAGAGTTTTCTTTAGTATTTATTGTTGCTTGAATTAGACCCCAAAATGAAGAGTTGGAAATAATAAGCATCAATTTAAAAGTCAAGGAAATCCTTCCTGCACTGTGTGAATCAGCAGCTGAAGGGTTTCAAAGAGCACTGTCAATGCTTGTTTGGAATTTAGGAAGAAAATCTTCACCTGCTGATACTGCACAGCACTTAAAGCTTAAAATATCAACACAACTGACTCATGATGCATTTAATGCACTGCAAATGCAGACATATGTGTGGTAGGATATCCCATGCACAGATTATCAATAATAATAATAATACTCCCATAATACTCTGAGTTTCTTTGTCAGAAAATCTTTAAGCTGAATATTTATACTTGAAATGTCAGAAGCCAAAAAAGCTGAATTGTGTTCACAGAGCAGAAAACAACAGAAACTGGAGAAAATGAGCTACAAGAAAATATGTAAATGTATGTTCAATGTATTTCCATTAAAATCTGCTCTCCTTTAAAAATGCTTGGTAAGGAAAACAGGCTTCAACAGCACATGATAACTCATCCTGTTTAACAGAGAGAGAGTTGATGAAACATAAATTTCAGGACCAGTTTCACTGGACTGCTGAGAAATACATTTAAAAGTATAGTAAGGTGCTGGATAAACCTCCTTTATGTAAGCCCTGTCTGACCTTTTCAGATGAAATGAAGTTGTTATTCACCAGTGACGACTGGAATGAAATCATCACATTGTCATGTAACAGAATTATTTAACAGGAGTAATTTCTTTTCCAGTTTAGTTGTTTCTTGGTAATTTCAAATCATGAAAATGACAAATATACAGCAAAACAAAGTTCCCTTCATCTGGTTATTTCAGTACCAATGGACACAAGCCTGCACAGAGCTCGTGAAGACACACTCAGCAAGAATAAAGACAATCCTGGAAGATCAAATTCTGGTTTCCTTTCAGGCAAATATAAAGAAAATAGACATAGAGTTTACACCATGCACAAAACCAAGCATCCTATGGGTATTTAACATACAGAAATATAACAAGGCAATTAAAGCTTTAAGGTGCATCCTGATAAAATTTACTTACAGGATCTCTCTCAGCTGTTTCAGAGAGGTACAGGGAGAGACTGTCAGTCTCCAGGAAGGTTTAATTTAGATTTTTTTCTAAGCCACTATTTTGTTGAACACGAGGCTTGGGAATTACAAACTCTATACCTTTTCAAACAAAGCCAGAACTAAAACAAAACCAGAGCCTAGGCCAAATCTTATTCACATGAGCAGTTTCAGTGCTCAACAGAATCACTCATGCAAGCAGGGCAAAGTGCTTTCAGCTCTCTGTCCATCAGGGTGCTGCTCATGCAATTCTCCAGCACACACACAAAGGGTCACACTGCAAGTCCAGACCAAGTTGCTAATTTGAGATATTTAAAATGTTAAGATTTGCATTATATGATTTGAGGAGCTCTTCCTGGCAGGAGATGAAATGTTTATTACCAACCAGGCGTCCAGCTGATGTTATCTGTGCACGTGATTTTGCTTTTCTTTTGACCAAAAAAATAGATTTTAAAATAATCTATTTTAGTAGGAAATTATTAGTTTCATTCTGTTAATAAAAAAATGCCATATGTGATCTGTCTGATCAGTTTTGAAATCATTGATCATATGAGATCAATTCCTTAGACAACTGCAAGTTCTGCCCCCTGTATTAAAAAGATAGAATATTTGGAATTAAAAAAAAAAAAACACATAAAACTAAAGAGTTCAAAACCAGGGGGGTTTAAAATTCTTTTTGTGATAGATTTTAATAACAAGAGCTGCATGACTCTGCCCTGAGAGCACAGTTACCCTGCAACCTGAATAAACTGACCACAGACCAGTGGCAAATCAAATATTCTACTGTTCTTCTTAATAGGGGAGATTTGATACTGAATTATTAATATGCAGACCTAAGGATGTGAATTTCTTCAGCTTGGGCTAATTTTCAAAGGACTTTGACAGTGCTGCTCACCTCATACATGATTGTGTTCAGGTTCTGCTGGCCAGAGCTCTGCTTGTTTTTCCCACTCTCTTTGCGCTGCTGCTTAAGGTCAGTGAGTAACTGGAACACCTGAGGAGAAAAAATAAAGTGTTTTAGACCACTTGAGAGGATTTTACCTAAAAATATTATAACATAAGTGATCAACCAAAAATCCTATCAACCAAACAGCAACAAAACCGTGGCTGTTTTGGTGGATGCACCAGGGATTGAAATGGGAAATGTTTTGGCCCCAGAGCATGAACAGGTATGGAAATTGTTTTTTAATAACTGTGACTACTTTAAACAGACTTTCAACACTTGTTCAATGTCACCCAAGAGCCCCAAAGGAGAAGCTGCCAGGAGGAATGTGACTTGTTTATCTCCTGTCCTGAACAGAGCTGGGTCATGCCCTGCTGTGCTGGCACCGAGCTCCCATTTACACGAGTGATGCTTGAAGCAACATCTCGCAGCAGTTTATGGCTCTACTGGATTTGTTATGACAGATGTACCTACAACATTAAACTGGACACATATCCTGCCTCCCAGAGAGGCATTTTTCCATTGTCTGCAAAATAAAAGTAAACTCTACACCTGTCACACTGCCAGGAAACCACTAACTCAAGGCTTGACCTACAGATGCTCCTGAGATTAACAATCCCATCATAAATTCCAGTGGAGTTATTCATAAATGTTACAGTGACCAGCATGGTATGTTAAACCACAAGGATTAAATTAGCTTTCATCACGAGGTAATACAAGCAGACATTCTTGAAAAGCATGTAATGAAGTTGTCTTCACATTTATGATGCAATGAATATCAGTGTAGGAGTGAGATTCATCATTCCTAGACATGCAGCAAAACATGCAGACAGCATCACCATTACTGTTTTATTCCTGTATTAAACCACACTAGAATGATATTTCTTCAGATGTTTTGCTTCTGGTTTTACAGTATATCCAGAGTCAACACCCACAGCAAAGTACCATGTCTTACTGTTTATCCCCTCATTTTTAACCAGCTTAATTCAAGATCCAGATCCAATGGCATTCCAAACTGACAGGGCCACAGAAATAAGAAAAAAAGCATTTCTAGACAGTGAGAAACATGAACATGATCAGCTATAAATCCAGCAATTACTTTACACTGCATCTTCTATGAAAAAGGAACCCCTGTCAATCCTGACCTGAAATCCAAAACTGGAGCTGTGAACTTTTACCCAATAAGTATCTGAAGAAAATGCAGCCAAGTGGCAACAAAACACAAAATGACAACTCCAAACTCGCAGAAGAACTGTAGGCATGGAAAATACCTGTCAGTCCTGAATGCTCCTGTCAAACACCACTTTCTGTGAAAAGTATCACCTCAATTTGGAGAACGTTGGCTGTGCCAGTCAAATTGCAACTGGAAGGAGGAGCCAATGGAAAGGTGTTGGTAGTTTTAAGGGAATCAGTACTTTGAAGAGCACTGAAAAGCCATACTTGCTATTTTCTTTACTGCAATAGTATGTTTTTAACAGACAGACACTTAATATTAGTTTGGCTGACATAGTATCATCTATCCAAGTACCTCATTAAAGCCCTTCTAAGTCACCAGATGGTTGCTCTGCTGTTCACAGGCAGATGCAGCTCAGGATAAAACACTTCAAGATTTATTTCAGAACAGAATGAAACAGCTGTGCAATAAAAAACAGCTTCAGCAATAAAATAACATAAACAAAGCACTTGGGTTATTAAAACTGTTCCAGAAATTACTTTAATAAACAAAGCACTGAAATCTTTGCATTACCTGGCTGAAGTTAAACCAACAAGGCCACGACATTTCTTTCCACCTCACTAAAAAAACCTTTACTGAGGAGAGAGGAGAATTACTTTCTACTGTTGATAAGTTCTGAGTAAGATTATTTTTTGTTATATGAATGCCAATATTCACTGTTTGCTGTGACAGGGCACTGCAGCCTCCTTGTGACTCCAGGCTAAGGTACATCACTGGCTTCTAGGAGTGTTTATCCTGAGTAACAGATCTCAGACCAGCTTTAACAAAAATTTCTGTCAACCATTCAAGGGTGTAAAACCACATTTCCAGTAGCTCTGGTTTTAATACAACTCTGCATTGATAAGTTACAGGTTCTTAGATGAGACTGCACATCACAACAATTCAGTTAAATAGGAAACACTGACTCCAGCAGCTGAAAAATGTTTAAACTTTCTGGAAGAATTCCGGGACCAAACAGATAATAAAGCAGTATCCATTACTGGCAAAACCATCTCCAAATCTTCTTTAAAAAGCTTGTTTTCTTAAAAAAAAAAGCAAATGCATGGGGGTGTAAATCACCTACAGGTCCTGCTGATTGGCACTGCCAATTTTCAGCTTCCAAAGGTTACACAAGGGACTGATGACAGCTTTAAACTGCTGGTTTAAAACCAGGATGCAGATAAACTTACCTCAAAGTTACTCAGCAAGGCAGCATTTGCATCTTTTCTAAAAGGAAAGATGAAAACCAATTAATTAGGTTGCAAATGAAACTGTTTAAAGTTTTTCTTTGCTGAGTCCTGCAGACTCTTAAAGAACAGACACTATTTTGATTAAGTTTTTTTTAAGAAAAGAAAACCCCAAGAAATCTATTTGTGGTGATTCTACATTACCAAGTTGTTGCCACCTTATTTTTCCACATTGTTACTAGAATTATGACATAAATACAGAATATATCTTGCACAATTTGCCCTAAAAATCACAATACACTTGTACAACACCCTCCTTCTACTCAGCCACCCCATTTTATTCAGTCACCCAATTTCATACACTAAAATCAAATTGCTTTGCCTCTTCCTTATAAAACAGGCCTCTAGTTTTATTTCAATAAAGACTGATGGGAAAAATAATTCAGATTACACACACTATTTCTTTGAAAGTCAAGAGCATAGAGAAAGAAAATACAATGAGTATTTTAGTACATTGTACATATGTGTGTGTATAGACATAGATAGGGCACTAATTTACATGGGTAAATTAATCTATCAGTCAATTTTTTTACTGAGTAAAAAAACTTACTGCATTTCCTCTTTATTTTTTGCATTTTTATGGGCCTAATTCTTTAATAGGAGGGCAAGTTTCCTATTTTCCACCAACCAAACACCTCCCCACTAATTCAGTCCCAATTAAGCAAGAATCCTTATCCTCCACTGGCAAGGTGACATATTTAGACTAATCAGGCCTCTATTACTACTGGATATTGTAATTTTATATTTTTAAACTGAAAAAAAGGGAGGAAAAACTGACAGGGGACATCCTATATTCCCCGAACAACACGTTCTGCTGAGCAGTCAGTAGCCACAACAACAGAAAGTTTTCCATACAAAAGGAAAAAAAGGCCTTTCTCAGGTCTGTGCAGCAGCTTATGGGAAAAAAAAAAAAAAAGAACAAAAAAGGTACAATGTGTTGTTAAGCACCGTCGACTGCCTGAATAGAACTGTCACCGTTCATCACTTTCAAACGAGTTAAATGAGTCCACAAACTTCCACAGGTTCTATCATTGTTTTTAAATGAAAAGGACCTCCTAAAATACGCTGAGATGAACTCCAACTTCCATTTGCTGACTGGAGTGAAACTTCAGCGAGTGAGCTCAGGCACGCATTAGTTGTCATTCATGTTTTACAAACCATATAGCTTTGGTTGTTAGGTAAATGCAATTCTTCAGAATGTTTGCATTCAGGCAGTGGCTGCAGAAATCCCCGAGGATCAAAGACATTCTTTGTTAGAGATAATAATGCTATAGGAGAATTACATATGGAATTGTTCAGTTGAGTAAGTGAAAGGGTCATATAGAGTCGATACCCTGCTATGCAAATGAGCCCGTGGAATCAATCTGAGGCTAAATTATTTAAGACAACTGCTTCCTTTTTTCATTCAAACACACTCTGTCATTCAGAAAAACACTTATTTTTTTTCCTTCAAACAACAGACAGCCAGTGAGTCAGTCTCAAACCCTCAACAAAAAAGGCCTCCAGTTTTATTTGGATAAAGACCGACGGGAAAAAATAATTCACATTACACACCTTTTTATAAGTCAAGAGCACGGAGAAGGAAAATACAATGAATATTTTCGTAGTGTTTCAGCACAATTTCTGTCGTGCTGAAATACCAAAATCATGAACTGATGAACTTTTGCAGGACTTAGAAAGTAGAAACAAAATTTTCTTCAGCCCTCTCTCTCATGAAGCAACTATCAATTTTACATTCAGGAAACAAGAAATTCTACGTAATGAACTCTAAATAATGAATTCTAACATATTTTAAGCAGTCGACTGAACAGTGTGCTTAATTTTTATGAGATTAAGACTTAAGCAGAAAGGAAAAGAATTTTCATAGCAATGCCAGAAGCATAAACACTTTGCAGAATCTTTAAATAGGTAATATTTGCCCAAATTTTAGTCCAAACCAAGATATTCTTGAGGCCTGCTGCATATATAAAAAAATACCTTAGTATATGGCATCACAACTCTACAAATATCACTGACACTTCACCTTTTTAAGTCTACTGCTTCAAATATGGTGCATATTTAAAAAGCAATGTTTTCTGGAGGGTTCTTTTCTCTAACAACAGATAGCTCTGGCAGGGTAAATCCTGGAGCAGTTTTCCTAGTTGCAAAACTTCCCTCTATGAATGCCATCAAGCAGGAGGTAAAAGATGAGGAAGATTAAATTCCTACAGTAATTTAAGTGCAAAATGGACTAAACTGTTCCACTCCAATTAAAGGAACGTTCACCAACAGCTCCGGATTTCAGTCCCCACATCTTCTACCTCTGAGGCACCTCCTCTTTAGTACTAAAAGAGGCAGCATCACTAAAATATACTGGGCTACTCAAAGTAATAAAACCAAGTGGATGTATAAGAAGTATCACCGATTTACTATTACTGGTATCAAAAGCACCTTTCTCAGCAGGATCAGCTCATTTCCCTGCAGGCTGCCACTCGTGTTGAGACTTGTGTCATGCAAACCCCTCTTGCAACAGATGTTTCTTATCTGCTTTTGAATTTTATGTCTAGAAGATCTAATAATTATAATATAGAAGATTTAATAATAATAAAGCATCCACGGATTACATGACCAGAGTAGTTCAGCTGATTTTGGGGGATGCTGATACATCCCATGGGACTTGCACCCTCCATGCTCCCATTCTTAAGAAACCAGCACCATGTATATATAAACATGAAGTTTAAGGAGCTCCACAGAACTCGGGACTTTCTAAGCTTCAAAATTAGCCAAATCCTATTGTTTTGTGCCCAGGTTACGCTCCAAAAACGCAAACACGCAGCACTGTCAGCGCAGGAAGGCAGAACACGCTGCCTGGTGTAAGTGCCCTGAAATATCGGCCACAATTCTCTTGCGTTTGCAATTGTTGGCACAGACTCCAGGCTTGCTCCTTCTCCGGCATGTCCAGCTCCTACAGAGTCACCCTCCCGATGCTGCCGGGAATAACTCTCTCCCCGAAGCCGCCAGAGGATTCCCGTTCCACCTCTCCCGGGGCACAGGCGGGCGGGGAGATGGGACCAGAGCGAGACTGGCCCAAACAGCTGCTCCAAGCAGGATTGTTAAAGCAAATAAAACCCCTCCGTTTCTTAGGACGCCTGAACCCGCTGCTGGGGGGGGCTAAAGGCCCACTACACCTCTCATACAGGCCCATGCGGATGTACCCCCCACACACAGACACCTCACAGGCCCACACGGATGTACCCCCCACACACAGACACCTCACAGGCCCGCACGGATGTACCCCCACATCCACGCAGACGTAGCCCCGGCCCCGCAGCCCCCGCTGTCCCCACAGCAGCCCGTGTCCCCGGTTCCTCCCCGTGCTTACACCTCCAATCTTGTCGCCCGCCGCGGGCTCCTCCCGCCCTGAAGGCTCTCCGCTCGGCTCGGGCGCCCGCGCCCGGCGGGGACGGAGGGGGAAGAGCGGGGCAAAGGGGGAGGCTGAGCCGAAGGAAGGTTTGGCGGCCGCGACGGAAGCGGAAAGGGAAGGAGAAATAAGGAGGAAGGAAAAAAAAAAAAAGAGAAAAGAGCGACTGCATTGGCCGGGAATCGAACCCGGGCCTCCCGCGTGGCAGGCGAGAATTCTACCACTGAACCACCAATGCCGGCGATGGAGAGTGTGTTTTCGCATCTCCCTTTGTATGCACTCTAGAAAAAGAAGTTAAAATTGCCCTGGAAATTCGCCCAGATCGACAATTAGCCGCTATTAAAAATGACGAAGTCAAAGCAGTGTCGCGAAGGTCCTTCCAAATCTCATCTCTAGCCATGTGCTGCGAGGCTGAAGTAGTTGTGTAATACTCCTACTGTCTTTTAAAGCACCCGTCGACTCGTCAGTGCAGGGTGTCTTTTCCAGCCATCACCGTGATGCTTTCCCATTTGATCTAAGTGCTATTAAATGTTGCAAGAGCCCTTTGCATTCTCAGTGAACCTGAAGACACTTCACTGAGTGCAAATAGCTGAAAATCCCATAGGCAACAGCAGGGGAAATTGTCTGGCTCAGAGACTGAGAGCCTGTGAAACGTTAATTCCTTAATTCTGACATTATCTCTCGGGCAAAAGTTTATATGCAGATACACCACTAACTCCCTAAGGAGTCACATACAGACACATGTGGTTTTTGCAGCAGGGATTGAAGAGCCATTTAGGGAACCAAATGGGTTTGACTTGTGCTCCCAAAGTCTGTCTTGCAATGCCAGCACAAAATCCACCAGCTGCTTTTCTCTCCGGAATCAAACCACTCCCACTTTTAGGACTTTTCTTCTCCTTGGGGTTTTGTAAATCCTAAATCAATTCTGAATAATATGGGCAAACTGCAGTTCTTCAGGAACAGTCCTCAGCGCCAGGACAGCCCTGGCAGCTCCCAGCTCTCCAGGAACCTTCATCATCAGATATAGAAGTGCTGGGCAAAGTTTAAAAGCCACCTTTTAAAAGGTTTTTCAGCCCTTTTCAGTTGAAACCCCTGCCAAAAAGTTTCGATGGACAAGTAAAGCCCATCACACACGGACTGTAGTACAGATAGAAAATCATTTATCCTCCAGAATCACTTATTGTGGAGTCCTGTGGAAAAAAAGCCAGGAGAAAGGTCTCCAAGAGCAGACTGAGAGCTGTTGGTCTGACTCAGTGCACAGGATGCAATGGATGCTGCCCTTTTTCATGTCAGGATTAACTGGCCTTGTAAGTTGGCCAAAACTGGCACAGCAAATGCTCTGTAACTTCTCTGCCATGTTTCCAACCCTGCACATGAAACTGCCTGTACACCAGCTCCCAACCAGGCTAGGGGGAAGGAAAGAAGAGAAAGGATGTCAGCTTACAGTGCAAACATGGTATTCAGAGTTTTGTTCCACAAATCTACTAATCCTTGCCTGCCTCTCATCACTCTCTTCAGATAAGGGTTCAGAATCTTCAGCATATTAATTTCATTTCTCCTTTGCAACTCTTTATGTCTCTCCCCCAGTACCAACTTGTCATCTTTATTTCCACTGTTTCTCCAAAAGTTTCCCCCGAGACCTTTGCTGATACACTTTTTCAAGCTATGAGGCTTTTTACAATCCGTGATGATGATGCAGCTGGGAATGAATGGGCATAATAAAAATGCCTCTCTCAACAGCTCTCAATTCTTTTTTAAATAGAGATATTATTCCTAAATATTTTCCAATGGACACATATAGCCAAATAAATGTAAATACATGTACAGGTCAGCTACAGGTCCACTGACATCATGAGAAGGGGAATATCTAAGAGAGCTCATTCCCCTTACAACTGTTCAGGAGGTGAGGTGATTAGGCCAGTTCACTGGTTTTAATTGCTGCTCTTTAGGTGTTAGACAGTTATGCTACCCCATCCATAGGGAATGCAGACATAGGTTTTTCTAAATGTGCTTAGCATGTCAACATTTTAAGCATTGGCTTGTGATTGTTACCACTAAGGCTTGGGGAGAGAGGGGCCTCGGTATTAACTATTGAAAGCAGGGGGCCTAGGACTTGCTATTGAAAGCAGATCTGCAGGGTATTTGTATTCTTTGTCATGAAAGATGTTTACTGTATTCAGCATTTCGCTGATCACCCTATAGTGTCTTTTTTTTTTCCTTTTACATTCAAAATTCATTAAACAAAGTTGGGGGGTTTTTTAACAAAAAATGTCAGCACGGCTTCACATCAGCCGAGCTGACAGTGCGTTTGACCAGCACTTTCAGCCCATAGAGCTATTTTCTTTTTCTAAACCAAAATGATGGTTAAAAAAGGATGTTTTTAAAGAAGCCATCCTTTTTCTTCGCTGGACTCAGTTATGAAAACCAGTCCTATTGTGAAAAGTGTATTTCTAGAACCACTAAAGCTCCTTTGGAGCATTGCACTCTTCCAACAAAACAAAAGGAAATAGTAAGGTTGTAACTGATTAAAAGAGTCAGTGAAAATAAAGTTCAGATCTTTGAGTACACTAAAATATATTTAATTAAACTTCCCCATGCTGCAAAATGGGCAATTTACTCTCTAGCACTACCTCATTGTACCTTAATGAATGATTTGCCATCCACTGTGCCAGAAAGGAAAATAAGTGGAAGACCTTTCCCTCAGACCTTCCTTGATATTAATTGTGGTGTGAAGATTTTGGGGCTTAATCTTTCCATTTCACAAAGCAAGTAAAATACTGAAAGAAGATGATAGGAAATGGAGAGCCATCCAAACCAGAACAAAGAGAGAAGATAGGAATGACAATGCACATCAGTATGCCTTAGAAAACCTATTTTGCAATGCTATTTTACCATTTTCCCCTCAAAAAAAGTCCAACTCTCCAGCTCCAGCATCTTTAAGAAATCATATTTCTTCAATGTTCATTTTTGTATTTACAGTTTCACTTCCATTTTTATTACAAAAATATTAGTCTATATTCTACATTATTATACAGAAAAGGTACTTATTGTTTATTTCATCTAAAAATAGAAAGAAAGAGAATTAATAATTTCCTAGATACGAACTGGGACAAGAGTTGAGCAGCGTACTACAAGCCAACTAATCCCTGTGAAGTTTGCTAAACACACAGTGACACTGCTGACAGATCCCATGTGGAAGCACATGTCCCTGCCACATGTAATATCAGACACAGATTAATAAGATCTTACTGACATAGATTCACTCTGGTTATAAACTCACTGATTACTGGTTCCCCAGCACATCAGCAATCTCCTGTCAAAGCCCAGAGTAAGGAAAAGGACACTTCTAAAGGGTGAAGAAGACAAGAAAAGTGGTAAAAATGAGGGATTTCACGGTAGGAAAGAACATGACTGCAAAAGGATCAAGCACTGTTTCCTAGTGTAAGTGTCCTAGAAGAAAAAGGAAAAAGAGATAATGTTGTAGAACTGAGAGAACAGTAAAAAAGAGAATCAGTTACAGGGGAAAAAAAATAACCCAAGAAAATGTGGATGAGAAAGCTGGAATATGTTTCCTGAGCGCTGTGAAGGGTTTGGACAATGCAGATGGGAAAACATTACACTGCAGAGGCTCACTCAGTAAGACAAAGCAGCAAATATTCAGCTTTCTGGGAAGTGGCTGCAGAAAATTCTCTGTCTGAGGAGTTAATGAGAAAGTGGTGCTGAGCTGAAGCTTTGCTGCTCCCAAAGCTCTCTTGTATTTTCAATCAGTTGTTTACTTCCACGATGTTTAGAGTGTGATGAGTTTAAGACACGGGCTATTGCCAAAAGCACAACCTCGCACCCCACAGCCACAGCTCACAGGAACCTCTTGACAAGTGACCCCATGAAACTGGTGGCAGCAGGGAAGCCCCAAAGCTGGGGCTGCAGCGTCCCTACGAGTGGGGAGAAAAGTCTCACCCACGCAGGAATGGGAAAGGGGAACCGGCTCCCGTCTGTTTTATTCCGGTGTGTTCGCCGGGGTGGCAATGGGGACAGAGCACTTTATCAATTACGTTCATATCAAAGACTGCTCATT